AAATAAGAGCCACTGACTTTAACAGATGATACATCACATCCTATCCTCAGTAGCAAATTAAATGCTTAGCAGATGCTAAGAGCCCTTCACGACCACAGGCTGTGAAATGTTTGCATTTCCCATCAGTGCCACTTTTCTCTTTACACTTCCCAATTCCCTGGGAGTTTTCTCAGGTTTCTGGCAGAGATTACACAGTTTGTTTTTTTCATTCTTTCTTTTTGCTTTCTGAGTGGTTTTATCCTCAAGGAAACCAGGCAGGCTAGCCAAACCCAGCATGACAATCAGTGCTGAAAGGCATGTGATCCCCATCAAAACAAAAAGTGCCATTAAGGCACCAGGGTCTCCTTCACAGTGGGTGAGGAGTTCAAATAAACCACACCACATGACTGTAAAACTCAGGTAAGAATGAAAGGTTTCCACTAGATCACCCATATTTCCAGAAGAACAAGAAAAAAAATGCAGATTATCAGCAACAATATTTGTGAAACCTAATGGCTTTTGGCAAAAATGTTGAATTGGAAATAGATATCTTATAGCCAGGGACAGGACCAGCAATTTTAAGAAAACAATAGGGTGTGTTTTTTACATTAGATTCACAGAAGTTAAGGTATTAATTTGGTCAGACTTCTGTATTTCCTAAATAATTCAGAGTTGTGCCTGCAAGTAGGATAGATGATTTTAATTTGGATAAAAGATATCTTCCAGAGACATAGAATCATAGAATGGTTAGGGTTGGAAAGGACCTTAAGATCATCTAGTTCCAAGCCAGGGATGGAGCATTCACCACTTCTTTGGGCAACCTGTTCTAGTGCCTCATCACCCTCACAGTAAGGAACTTCTTCATTATATCTGACCTGAACTTCCCCTGTTTAAGTTTAAACCCATTACCTGTCACTACAGTCCCTAATGAAGAGTCCCCCTCCAGCATCCTTGTAGGCCCCCTCAGATACTGGAAGACTGCTGTGATGGTGGTGAAAATTAACTGGTACTGACTTTGAAACAAGGTGATTTCTGTCACCCCTTGAAGCAAGAGAATTTCTGTCAGAATTACTGTACTGATCTCACTCACTCAGGGAGCATACCTCAACTCTATTTTTAATTTGTCCACTTCCAGCATTCAGATACAGGCTGTTGTTATGCCTTAGAGTAAGGAGCTGTATCACATATAACCATATCCTTTTGCTGTGTATCTGCAGTAAGGCAAGATGATTATACTGCGTTCAGCTCCCTTCCCAGTCTTTGTTTCCCTACGCAACTCAAGCAAGCATATGCTCCTCATTGAGAGACATTTTTTCCATTCCTCAGAAAATTTGTGCAGCTCTTCAATGAATCTTCCCTTAGAGCAGCCCTACACTCTGCATGCAGCACCCTTAATACCTTAAAAATACCCTTCTCCTCTCAATACCCTCAGTATTCACATTAGCCCTGGTTCTTGTACTGTTAGACTGGCATTTACACTTTGTGGTTTGGTCAGGGTCCTTAACAAATTTACAATTTTTCAGTATCCCATTTTATATGCATACTGCAACACATTTTGTTTGTTACCAAATCCAGCTCATGCTGTATTACCAGTCCTTAATCTGCCATAATTTATCATTCTGCCAGTCTTTGTCATCCAGAGATTTTATTGGCAGGGACTGTATATCTATTTCCATCTTTAATAAAGGTACTAGATTGTGCTGGTACTGGCTACCACCCACCAGTTTTACACAAAAACTATTAAGCTAATGATCTGCAGCATGAAACCCCGGGAGAGCACATGGGCATTTCTAGGTGTTGAATAATCAATCACTCCCTGATTCTGCAAGACCAAAGTGTGTTCAGGGAAGAGTTTAAGCTTAAATGTAGTAATTTGTGCTCCTTCTGTAGCCAATGGAAAGAGAAATTTACTTCCAGGTGCATCTTGCTATGAAATATACACTGTTAATATGTGGATCTGGATCTGCACCTCTCACTGCCCCTTATCTGTAGCTAGAGCCTAGTGGACAAGCAACAGAGAGGGAAATGGTGGCAGCGAGCCAGTCCAGTGAAAGAGTGGCACAGTGTGTATCTTGACATATTCCTTCCTTGGTCAGTCATTAGGCACCAGGTTTCTAAAATACTGCAGCACTTGCCCAAACCTGTGGAGATGATGTGCCATATTGTGGTGGGTCGACCATGGCTGGAAGCAAGTTAGCCACTGAACTGCTCTGTCATTGTCTGCATTGGACAGAGGATCAAAAAATATAATGACAGGTTCATGGGCTGAGATAAGGACAAGAAGAGATCACTCACCAATTGCCATCATGGGCAAACCAGACCCAGATCAGGGAAATTAATTTAACTTATCACTAATCAAATCAGAGCAGGGTAATGAGAAATAAACCCAAATCTTAAAACACCTTTCCTCCACCCCTCCCATCTTCCTGGGCTCAACTTCACTTCAAAATTTTCTAACTTCTTTCCCCACAACAGTGCAGGGAGATGGGGAATGGGGGTTGTGGTCAGTTCCTCTCACGTGGTCTCTGCTGCTCCTTCCTCCTCAGGACAGGACTTCACACTCTTCCTCTGCTCCAGTGTGGGGTCCTCCCACAGCAGACAGTTCTCCATGAGCTTCCGCAAATTTGGTACCTCCCCCAGGCTGCAGTTCTTCATGAACTGCTCCAGCGTGGGTCCCTTCCATGGGTGCAGCCCCTCAGGAACAGACTGCTCCAGTGTGGGTCCCTTCCATGGGGTGCAGTCCTTCAGGAACAGACTACTCCAGTGTGGGTCTCTTGCGGGGTCACAGCTCCTGCCAGTAAACCTGTTCCAGTGTGGGCTCATCTCTCCAAGGGGCCACAGGTCCTGCCAGGGGCCTGCTCCAGCACAGGCTTCCCACAGAGTCACAGCCTCCTTTGGAAATCCCCCTGCTCCAGGGTGGGATCCTCCATGGGCTGCAGGTGGATCTGCTCCACCATGAACCTCCATGGGCAGCAGAGGCACAGCCTGCCTCACCATGGGCTGCACCATGGGCTGCAGGGAAATCTCTGCTCTGGAGCGTAGAGCACCTCCTGCCCTCCTTCTGCACTGACCTTGGGAACTGCAGAGCTGTATCTGTCACATATTCTCACTCCTTTCTTCAGCTGCAATCGCTATTGCAGTTTTTTTCCCCTTCTTAAATAAGTTATCCCAGAGGTACTACCACCACCACTGATGGGCTCAGCCTTGGCCAGTGGCAGGTCCATCTTGGAGCATGCTGGCATTGGGTCTGTTGGGCACAGGGGGAGCTTCTGGAATCTTCTTACAGAAGCCACCCCTGTAGAACACACACACACAGCACCACCACCACCACCACCACCCCGGCTACCAGAACGTTGCCATGCAAACTCAATACACAGATTTAAGATGCTAGAACAGGTGCACAGCTTAGATGTCATGATACCTGTTCCATGCTGTTAGTGTAGCAGAGAACAAGGATGCAACGGCACTGGGCTTTTGGTAGCCTGAACCTACTCTTTGCTGTCTTAAAGGTGGCCACCTCTGTAACAGTCTACTTATATCCTCTTTAGGAGGCTAAGATTTCTCACCTTTCACAAACATCTGTGGAGAGTTGCTGACTGCTGACCATGTATTTGACATAGGCCAGGGGCACAAGGACATAGTCCACGTACAGAACAGCTCTGCACAGAACACCTTAGTGCAGCTCAGCAAATTACAACCTTATCACATAATTAAAATTATCACACCTGAAGCTGAAGGTCCAAGCCAACACCACCTTCTGGTTTATAGGTACATGCTACTATGAGACTGGGATGTCCAAAAATAGATGATTGGGTAATGGATTTAAACTTAAACAAGAGAAGCTCAGGTTAGATATAAGGAAGAAGTTCTTTATTGTGAGGGTGGTGAGGCTCTGGAACAGGTTGCCCAAAGAAATGGTGAATACTCCATCCCTGGCAGCATTCAAGGCCAGGTTGGACAGAGCCTTGGGTGGCGGTTTAGTGTGAGGTGTCCCTGCCCATGGTGGGGGGTTCAGAAGTAGATGATCTTAAAGTCCTTTCAACTCAAGCCGTTCCATGATTCTATGATTTACAGTGACTATTATTTCAGTGTTTTGAAAAATACATTACTTTAAAAGTCCAGATGCTGTTAGGGATTGTTTTTGAAGTTCAATTTGTGATAATGTCAATCTTTTGCATATGCTGCTTTATTGCAGCAGAATCACAACAGAGTTTCCAGTAAGAATGTTAAACATGTGCAAATAGTTTGCCTGTTCTAGATGCCAGAAGATAAGCTCTGCTTTGAATCAAATCCTTAGTTAATCTCTGAAAACTGTTGCATTATACTATGTAAGGAGTAAGGAATTTCTTTCTTGTGCTTTAGGAACGGCTCTTTCAGGGAACTGAAAAAGGGATAAACAATTTGCTTGGTCCCTATAACTGCAGACACTTACCTTCCATAGAATCATAGAATCGTTAGGGTTGGAAAGGACCTTAAGGTCATCTAGTTCCAAACCCCCTGCCATGGGCAGGGACACCTCACACTAAACCATGCCACCCAAGGCTTAGTCCAACCTGGCCTTGAACACCACCAGGGATGGAGCATTCACAACCTCCCCGGGCAACCTATTCCAGTGCCTCACCACCCTCATAGTAAAGAACTTTTCCTTATATCCAGTCTAAACCTCCCCTGTTTAAGTTTTAACCCGTTATCCCTTGTCCTGTCACTACAGTCGCTAATGAAGAGTCCCTCCCCAGCATCCCTATAGGCCCCCTTCAGATACTGGAAGGCTGCTATGAGGTCTCCATGCAGCCTTCTCTTCTCCAGGCTGAACAGCCCCAACTTTCTCAGCCTTTGTCATTCAAGGGGGACGGGAGGTGCTCCAGTCTCCTGATCATCCTTGTGGCCCTCCTCTGGACTTGTTCCAACAGTTCCATGTCCTTTTTATGTTGAGGACACCAGAACTGCACACAATACTCCAGGTGAGGTCTCACAAGAGCAGAGTAAAAGGGCAGGATCACCTCCTTCGACCTGCTGGTCACGCTCCTTTTGATGCAGCCTAGGATATGGTTGGCTTTCTGGGCTGCAAGCACACACTGCCGGCTCATGTTCATTTTCTCATCGACCAGCACCCCCAAGTGAACAAGTCTGGGACCTTCCTTTTATTCTCATGGCCACAGAAACCTAACCTGATTTTCAGGTTTTCCTGAGAAGTTGTTGCTTCCTCACTTATATTAAAGGAATGAGTCAAAGGAAAGAATAAAGCTATCTGATTTTAAAGGAAATTTTATACCAAGTTAGTTAAAGGCTTAACTTTACCATCCTGTTAATAAAAATAAAAAAGAATGTTCATGGGCTTTTCCTTTCCTTTTTTCCACCTGTACACATTCACCAAAGTAGGTTCCCCATTTGTCAGACCTGTAGAGGGATTAAAAAATGACACAGTAATTGAATAGCCAGGCCTCACAAGAGGCAGCAAAGACAAAAGCTTCCAAAATGCAAGGGCTTAAGTTTGGAGAGTAGGAAGTGTAAGCAACTTGAAGAAGTGTAATCAACTTGAAGAAGTATAAGCAACTTGATAGCATGAAGAGTTTCTAATATACAGAGAGGTATAAATACAGCAACTATTTCCTATTGTTTTGCCTTTGCCTTTTCACAAACTTGAATGACAAAGAGCTATTTGGAGTTGTTGTCTGCCTTTCCATTCATCCTGAGGCATTAACAAGCCCTAATTTAAGAGAAACACTTTCCTCTTCAAGCAACTTCTTGGCAGTGCTGCCCCCCTTGTTCACATCGTAAAGCTGGTCACATAAGGTCACAGATGCATCTCAAGCTCAGTGACTGCTTTTTTTTCGGAAGACAGAGGTTTTGTCTGCCTACTTAGTGGGGAAGGGGAAAGAAAAGGACACTATCTTGTGTACCTTCTTCTCTCCAAAGAGGCTTATTACTAGTGTAGCTTGACACACAGCAGAACTAAGCAGGTTTTGAACTGTGAGGGACATTCTTTCTGCAGAAGTTGTGTTAGGTATTAATTTAGTCCATGTTACCCAAGCACAGACCACCCTCTTGCCTAAAAGCAGATTGAGAATTTGGTCATTCAGCCAACAAGCTAAAACCAACCACAGAGATTTAAGTCATTGTGACTTTGGAGAGTAGTAATCTAAATAATACAACTAACAAATAGATTTAGTACGAGCTTCAGGATTAACAATTTATCTCAATGTGCAAGGTAGCTTTTCCTCTTTAGAGATGTTACTGTCAACTATTAAATCAAATTTCAAGACTAAAAAGAAAGGTGATGCAGGAGGAAAATCCACTTCCTCAGAAATTCATTCTCAGAGAGAAGTCTGAGATTGATTTATTCTAGTTCAACTTGACACTGTCCTAGAATTAATAGGAAAGTTGCCATTTTGGTATCAAGACTAAATTACGTAGTTGGTACCAGCTTTTGGTTGCTGTTATGACAGAGCACTCAGTAAGGTGTTTCCATAGATTATTTGGGTCATTCAAGCAATATTCAATCTTCAGACTTCAGCTGGCTGACATCACTGCAGCCTCAAGTGACTAAAATTCATTATGTCTCCTTACATGTAAACCAGACCTTTAACCTCAGCTCTTAGAATTAGCCTGGTGTGTGTGCTTGCAGACCTAAACTTCATTTATCCCCAAGATATGAAGTTAAATGATCTTTTTAGAATTAAAATTGTTCTTTTAGTATACAATGTTAATAATCTTGCACTTATCTTCATAATAGAAATATGAGTAGGAGTAGAAACTAATCAGGATGCTATTAATTATAGAATTTTAATAATGCTCTGCTAACCTAAACTATTGATATACGTAGCACACTAATTTTTGTCACATACACCAGAATGTGAGCGATCTTCCAAAACTCTACATAAATAGACATGAATTCAAAGGCCACCACTTCTGCCTGATTTGGGTTGATTACGGAATTACAAAATTTAACCTAGACTCCACAGTAGCCTAAGTTTGTATGAAAGATATAAGTGCCCTCCAGACGAGATTTATCTTACAGTCTTTATATACATCCCAATAACATTGAGACATGATAGACACAACTCCCAAAGAACACCGAACAGCAGTTTCATGAAGTGCCAGTGAGGATGATGGGTTAAGCTTGTTATGCTTTGATCCTAGAACATCCTACTTTAATGGCTACCAGACAGAAAGATCTATTTATTTTTTTAAACAGCTACTATACTCAGGTTTTCTCCCAGCAAATGTTTAGGAAACACATGGGTAATTTGTGCTACCAGTTGAGAAAGAAGTCTCCAATATTTCTGCTTCACAGAGCAGATGCTGTGCAGCTATATTCAATCATGTTAGGCATAAAATGGTTTTGAGGTGCCAACAGACTCCATGAGTTTGGTTAGAGAGAGCCATGTTCACCCAAGAACAGCCAGTATGTTGTCCTGGACTAGTCTAGATTTAGTTTTAACTAAGTACTTCTACGCACTTGCCAGATGTGTCTCACTGCTTACCCTACAGGGTCAGAGAGATTGTAAGAGTTTTGCTAGTTGTGTGCCAGTATGCTCTGCAAGATCCAGTAGCTTCAGCACTGTCCCAGATTGTACACCTTCTGTCTTGCAGCAGGTAATGTAACTGTGATCATTATCTTATCAGAGTTACTTGCAGTAACTGGCAAATAAGCTCCTCTGCACCAAAGAAAGCTTGATTCTCCAACATTGTGGTTGCAGCCAAATTCTTTTATTGCTAATGGGAACAAATGCTTAACTCCATGTTGCATCTGAGAAGTCAGCTGCCAGGCAAGACAAGAAAGATCTCAGGTTGTTTCTACTTCACAAAATGCCTAGTCCTCTAGGGGATGAGACAGGAAAAAAATGATATCTCAGCCTTTCTAAAGATAAAAAGAGCTCAGCCTAAGCAGACACTGTGGTAACCAAGGAAACAAATTACATAATCTAATAGGTTTATAGCTAAAAGTTAAGAATCTCAGACTGCCTCTATACCATCATATGAAACAACTTCAGCATCTCTCCAGATAGTTCCTTTGGCAGTAAATTCAAAAGTAATTGCTTTGTAAGTTTGCAAGTTTTAATAAGCAAAATAACTGGAAGATTAGTTACAGGGATGCTTTCAATACACTTGTAAGAGCATTGCTGATTGTTTTTATGAAAATATGATTGCATATCTCAGGTATAATCAAACCAGTTCACAAGTTCTGGTACTCCATGGAATAATTCCTCACCAGTTCTTGTGCAGCTAATTTTATCCTGTATTCCTAAGAAGATATGGAAGGATACAATGAAACTCATGAAGAACTGCCATCATTTAGGATCAGTGAACCAGACTCCTTTTCCTTGGAGATCTATGCAGAACTGTAGCTGCATTAACTGAATGAGCACTTCCCCGTGATGACTTACAAACTTTGGAAGGATCTTGGTCTTCTTAACAATTACATTTGGCCCATTTGGGTTAGAGCTCTGTGGTTGTCCAGTGAAATGTCCACTAAAATGATACGAGAGAATGAGGAAGGCATACCTGAAAGAACTGTGAAAGAAACATCCCCTGTTACAAAAAAGCACATGTGTCCAGCCTCATGCCATGCTTACCATCTGGCTCCTTCAGTTCTTGCCTGGAAGTATGTGCTGCAGTCCCCTTCTGAACACTGCACTGGCAGTTCCACCAGGCATTTCATGATACTAAAAAGATGTACAAAGAGCCCCCATCAAGGCAGCATAAACTGCTGTACTCTTATGATAGAGCAAACACCTCACTGAGTATTTGCAACAGCCCACCTGAAGAAGAATGGCAGAACTCAGCGTAGTTTAAACAAATATCAGAAACTCTGAAACAAAGAAAGCGGCCAAGATAGCAGGCCCTTGCTGTAAGGAAAAGGAGGCAGCAATGCTTCTGCAAATGCCCTCAAATGCTTCAGGCCTTCTGTCAGCAGCTCAGAGGGACACTGCAGCTCCAACTCCTACTTGGTGATTCCATAGAGCGATGCCACACCAGCATTGCAATAGCTAGCATGAAAATACAAATAGTTGATTTAGTGTGAGACAAGGCTTACAGGTCTGTTTATTTACTAGTTCAAAACCAGCAGTTTGAGCAGTCACAAGCTGAAGCAGCACTTTAATCTTTAATAGTTTGGGAAGATGTCAAGATAAGTAGAACCCTCCATTAAAGCACAAGGAAGGTGTATCAATGAAACAGATACCAGTACTGAGAAGGAAAGACAAGGATGTTCATTTTTCCTGAAAGATCATGTTGTCTCCCCTAGAGACCTGCAACTCCCCATGCTTGCCAGCTACGATGAGATCCTCCAGAGTGAAAAAAAGTAGAAATCAGAGAAGATTTAAAAGTAATTTTGGGACTTAAAGCTCCATTTTAACTAGGTTTCATTATTGTCACTAGCAGCTTTAGATACTCTGTGTATGCCAAAACTAAGGCTTGGCTGCAGTTAGGGCACAATAGGGAGCCATAGGGACATACCTTGCCCACATCTGTTGAAGATGCCTGCTGGGAGGCATGCAGCACATAGAATCAGAGAATGTTTAGGATTGGAAAGGACCTTAAGATCACTTAGTTCCAACCCCTCTGCCATAAGCAGGGACACCTCACACTAGACCAGGTTGCTCAAGGCCCTGTCCAGCCTGGCTTTTAACACTGCCAGGGATGGGGCCACAGCTTTTCTGGGCAAATTCCATCCTCCCTGTGCAAGCTGTCCTGCACCTCCAGCTTCTCCTCAGTATCCCAAGCAGGGAGCTGGTTTACTACCTGACATTAAGCAGTGAATTTTATAGGCAGTTGCTGATTGGAGACATGAGGTTTTACAGGATGAATATAAGCAATGTTGACTTGTTTCTAGCAAGATAGCTCTCCAAAGCGGGCAGGGCAGGAATGATAGTTTGCTTTAGAAAACCCTTTGCATTTCTTCCTTCAGAGATCATTCTGATTTCCGACTTACTTTATCAGGTACAAGATGAGACAGAACGAGATGGTTGTGGCAGTGAAATTCAGAGGCAACGCTGCAGAGGAGGCAGGTGTAAGAGGCCCAGGCAAGTTGCGTGGCTCGGCAGCTGCTGCTGGTATCTGCAAATCGTCTCCTTCTCCGTCCTTCCATGTCCCGGCGCCCGGGGGCAGCAGTCAGCC